TCAACTACAGTAAATTCACATTGGAATATTATTGGAATCAAACAGATGTAAAAAAGGACAAGATTTTTTAATTATATCATGTATCAAAAATATTAATTTGTTGTTATTGTTGTTGTTGTTGCAGATCAAGTTCATGGAATGACAATGTGTTGATTATGTAGTTGGTGCATTTGAAATAAGGCAGTAAGATAAAACCTAATTTGCACATAGGCATTAGTGTCCTTTTTACCCTCTCAGTGTTGTTAGGGCAGGGTAAACGAAACCAGAGTAGGTGCCCGAGTCAGAGGGAGCCATCACCCTGAGTGACAGACTTTGAGTCTCTGCTACGATCGAGGAGGTGAGGTGGGAGGTGTTTGTTTTTGTTTGTGGTCCTCCCTTGACTCATTGCACAAATGTCAGAGAGCAGGTATGAATACAATAGCTGCCACAGTGAGATTTCTTTAAATGACTTGGTTGATTTCTGCAATATTTTTCAAGATGGGTCATCATCAACATGAACACGCTCTACAGATGAATTTGGATACACTTCGTCTTTAAACAGCTGAAATAGGTACTGTAAAATGACAATGCACACATGTTCCTGAGCTTGCATTTTGGTTAGCGGGTGTGTAGGTGTCCGTGACTCTTGTGGTAATATATTGAGTTCGAAATAGCAGGTCTTTAGACACCTATGAAACCGTGACAGTTTTACCAGTATGGAAGTAGCTTTATAATTTACATTAACTAAATCTAAATCATTTCGAATTAACATTTTAAATATATTTCTATGGCAAAAATAGTTTGGATACAAAAGTATGTTGCGTCAGTATGTGTTTAATTATGCCATTAAGTTTCAGGCAGTTTTACCACTTACATTTTTACTGTGTGAAATGTATCAGATGTTGCTTTAACGTGGCATGGTAATCATTGTTTCTGTCGAAGAGCTACATTGATTTTATTAATTTGTGTATCAGGATAACTTTTGGATTAGAATGTAAGTATGAAAGTAATTTCATGTAAAACGTCAAATAAATTAAAAACATATTTAAATTGTAAAAACTAAACTCAAAACGTAAAAAGACTCTTTGATAGTATTTCCTGTGTTAACTTTGAAGTAATTTTTGTATTTATTATAATTTTTGTATTTATATATTGTGAGTGGCTTATATTGTGTGTTTGTAACAAAAAATGTACTTTCATGAAACATTCATTTCAGACAGTATTTCTAAAAAAGTTAACATCTGTTATCAAAAAATCTTAAACTGATATTTCATTACATAAATAAATAGATACATTATTTATAAGGTGGTTTTTATCTGGTGTAAGACAGTAAAGTCTAATAAATTGCTTGATAACATTACATTACAGTTATTCTGGCTTTGTTTATACGGACCTTCAATTGAAGGAATCAACAGAACTGTAACAATTTCATTGAGTGGTAAATTGGGCCTGGCCTTGTTTGTTGCCTTTAAAACCAGAAGAAACAAACAAGGTAATTTCTAGGTAATTATTCCGTGCTTACCATTTACCCACATAATTACTAAGTCAATACCAGATCACATATGTGCGTCGTAAAATAAACTGCAGCTTAGCGTGTTGCTATACAGTAGATGCCCTCTGGGATATAAACAGTGCAGAATTAGACCGGCTCTGAAGCTCTCTTTGCTGAAGAGAGTCAGTGCAAAATAAATTCAGATTTACATTTTTGCCAGTCCTACGTAACTTCTTTAAAGTTATGGTCTGTGTTTTAGTGTTGTGGTGGGAAGATTCTTTCTTTGTGTGTCATATATATCTTCTTATGACTTTATCAGGCGTTATCCGTCTCTAGCTTTGGAAAACTAACTAAACAATGTAAATAATAAAAGAGCTGCTGCAGGTCATCATTTTTAAGGTTTTCGATAAGTTTCAAAATAGATCACAAGCCCACAGAACAGTGGTGTGTTTTGTCACGATAACACTGGTGTCCCAAGAAGACTTCTTTCTGGCAGGCACACCATCAATCTTTCAGACGTCCAGTCGCTGTCATGCAGTGAAAGCGACAGACAGATTTAAATAGTTGTGCAGTGTTTGATCAGAAAACAGTGTTGTTGTCAAACATCAGATGCAGTCCCCAGAATAAGTGGTCGACATTGTCAAGCATGATGCAGCACAGTTCGGTTAGCACTCTCTAGATATGAGTCACGTTCTTCCCACGCACACTACAGTGCATGCACAATAAGAGTGAACTCTTTTCTACTGTGTGTGTTATTTTCTGCTCAACATCTTCCAACAAATTACACATTCGGAAAACTATTGCACATTGCATTAATTCACAAGTCCTTTGTACCTTGAAACACAATCCCAAACCTCCTGTGGTGTTCAAAGATTTGGCTGCTCCAAAGTAAAAAATGAAACAATTTGAAGGATGCAATCACTCTCCAAATAAATAAATCAACGGGCCGATAATGAAAGCCATCCCAGGGCGTTGCGGCTTTAATGACAGCACATATAGGCTCAGTGTCACTCACTGTCATTGCAGAGAAAATGAGAGCCAATTTGATGCTAATCCGGAACAGACTTTCTCTTTTAGTGCCCAGCAGTATGTCCTATTATCCAAGGAAACTCCTGCAGGTCAAACCTTAACTACATCATATCATTTCATAGCTTTCTGCTGTAGGGAAGCACATGTAATTACCAATTTCACCCCCCATAAGAGCAAGTCATTCCTCCCCATGTTAGGCTTAGATGACTAGCCCATAGTGTTTTGCATGAGCTCACTTTTTGGGAGGTGTATTGAAGCTGGGGAAGGTTTTGCAACTAGATGATACAAACAGATACACATGTGGGTGTTGTATTTGGAGATTAGATAATATACTCATCAAACTAGTGTGTACATTGAGTGTTTTAGGTGTGTGTTTGCGGGCCGCCCCCTCCTCAGCACCGGGTCCCGTTTGCTCTTTCAGTAACAGAGTGAGTGTACAATCTGTGTGTGTGTTCTCGATGTAAAGTTGATGACATTTGCTGAAATGTTTCCTCCGATGTAGAACAGTCGCTGGCGTTTGTCACTGTGGGCTCTGGGCCTTAACGGAATGTGTCAAAAGCTAAATTCTCTTCAATTATTGAGTCCGCCAGCCAAGAGTGGTTTTAAAACAGCTCCGTGTAAAATGAACATTTTCTTTCTTTTTTAATATTGACTGACTGTTGTTTTGTCATTTTAATCAAACATTTTGTTTGAGTTTTATAAAATGTAGTGAGCTGTGAAACATTATTTCTACCGTGATATAAACAAAATAATTGAAAGAGCAACATTTATTTAAAACTAGTAAGAAGCGTCACAATATTGTACTGTGACTGACATCAAAAAAAAAGAGTTTTACAACAAAGAAATAAGATTTGGCCCTCTGTGTTTTGGCACACCCTTTGATAATGGTTTGTCTTTCTCCAATATTTTAAAGCACTGGCAAAGAGTCTATGTGCCTTCTTTAATGGTCATTACTTGGTTGTGATTAGATTTTGCCAATCAGTGAGAGGGAAACAGAGAGTCCTCAAAGATATCCTTGGAAATCAGAGCCTACAGCTGAAATCCCAGGCATGTGCTTGTGATTGTCATTTATTGTCTTTGCCATGGGAAAAGTAATGCAGTCTGGGCACCGAGGGAACACTTTTAAATTACAATATGTTATTTATCTTTTCTTATTTCTGATTCACTATATCCTTGCTGCATCACAAGTAACATACCGCACATGTGTGAAACATTAAGGCATACAAATGTTTTTTCTACAGTCGCACTAATTGTGTTTTCTCTGAAAGCAATAACAAATACAAACACATTTAGTTCAAAATACACTTTTCCATTTCATACCTTTTTTTTAGAGATTAATCCTGAAAATTACACATTTAAATTTAAATAAACATTGTAATAACAATTGTTAATAGTAACCCTAAAATATATATTTTACTAGAAAGTTGGATCATCAAGATGGATGAGATTCTTAATAAATAAATAAATATTTTCATTTCATTTAATCGTTTATTTAGCAGGGTTAGGGTTAGTGAATTAATGAACACTTTAAACAAAAAAATGCAAATAGTGTAAATATGCCGGATTTTAGCTTGGAGCTAATTTCCATCCGCAGTCCCTCACATAAAACATTTAAGAACATGACAATTATACACATAGCAAAAACAAATACATGATATGCAAAAAGTGCAAAAGAGCAAGAGCAGCACACACAAGTATTTACCACATGGCAGTACAATATAGCAGCAACGACATATAAAGTGCAAGAGAAGATAGAAGAGATACCTAAAGTGCAAGAGGAGATACCCCTGTATTAAAGTGCATTTAGTGTATGTAACGCTGCCATTATCATAAACCACATTTCACTTCTTTATATAGTGTCAGAAGTTTCATGTTAAGTTCAAAGCTTAGTAAGAGTTTTGACATGCCTTAATTTCTAGTTAAGAACATCCTTAATACAGTTGTACATTTATTTTTGAAGAAATGTATATGTTGCACACTAAGCGTGTCTGCTTGTAATGATCATAATCTGTAAATACCACATAAAGCCATACATTCCCCATGATAAGACACATTGAATTTCTTCAGAAGGGATTTCGTTTCCCTTGCTTAAAAAGGAACAACACTAACATGAACTAAAAGGAATGATATTGTTGTTCGTCATTGACAACAGTTAAGATGTAGTTTGGAATTTACTAAACATTTTGAATTTCTATTGGGTTTTTTTCCCCTGTTTAGTTTCAGTTCCTTACATTTTAAAGAGAAAACAAGCATTTGATCTTTTTGAATTTGATCTCAAGCTGAAATTATTAGAAACTCATGAATGTTACCTTTTGAATTATATTTAAAAAATCATGTAAACCAAAAAATAATAAATCAACTATCTCCTTCATTTTGATCATTGTAGATTATTATACAACACTATATACAATATTGTTTTCCCTAATGAGCAAAAGGCCTACTGCAAATCTGATTGTCTTTTGTCACGCCTCTAAATGTTCTCTTTCTCTCCTTCTCACAGTGGATGCTGAGCAGGTGAGTTCCCTGGGGTCAGAGGGGGAGGATGAGGTGGGCCTGTGGAGCCTGGAGCCCCAGGACTGTCAGGAGAGCCTGGACAAGACGAGCCTGACGCCCAGCGAGGGGACGGAGGAGCCCGGCAGCCCGGCCCACTCCACCCGGCCGCTTAGCCTCAGCCCCGGCAGCAGGAGCTACTGGCCGCAGGTGGAGCGGGAGGCGGAGGCGACAGAAGACGCCAACACAGCATCTGCCACCGACAGGGAGGGAGACCAGGAACCGTTGAGGATATACTGTAAGCTATAAACTAAAATAAACCTGTAGAACTTTTGTTTTGAAGTTTCTGAGAAGCCTCTCTAGAACAAAGGCATGTCCAAGGAAGTGTGCAAGGTGTAAAATGTGATCTGTTTACTGTATGAGAGTGCTGTGTAGGACCCCACTGTGCGTGTAAACAAGTTTTCAGTGTTTTTCTGATGCAAGACGGCAGCAGTCTCATGATGCCTCTCAGAGCCCTCTAGATACACCTTCATATCAGCTCCTTGTGAAACCATGTCTTCCCTACAAGCTGTTCCTTTCTTTCACTCTTCTCTTTGAAAAGGCAGCCTTCTGAAAGCATGACAAAATAAGTAATCCCACACAATGTCACAATATTTCCATGCATCAAAGAGGTGACGTTACGGTACTGAAATCAGCACTGTGCGACGCGAGGCTTTCCCTTTTATTTAGGAGAGATCAAAGGCTCACTCGGCTTGCCTACTAACAATCACTTAGCTCCCTCGCCTCGTGTGATTTGGCCTTGCCTGATGAAGGCAAAGCTGAGTTTTTACAACACTCAACCGCACAAGCTCTTCCCTTCACCACATAAAAAAACAGCTCAAAATATGCCAACATCTGCAAACATTTGAAAAATCTTCCTCAAAGTCGCTGTAAGCTGACTGGCTTGATTCATGATAGGAAGCGCCCTCTCTTCTTCACGTGGCTTTCTTTCTCTCTGTCTGCCTGTCACTGCACTCAAGGACCCAAATGAGAAATAGTTCTTCAAATCAAGTTTCATATCTGGCCAAGAAGTTCCCTGAATACATTGTTCTATCTGTCGGTCTTAAGAAGGCAATTTAGTTCCATTAGATTCAGCCGCACAATCACACAATGTCTCTTTACAAGTTATCCCTTCTCTCCTAGCATATAAATATACAGTCTGAGACATACTCATTCACACAAAGACATTTCTTTCTCAAAAATTGAATTTATCATAGGTTCAATTGCACTGATGCAATCACTGACAATGTTCCAAAGGTAAAATGAAAAACCCAGAAGGCGAGATCATGTAGAAATGCAATGTATCAATCTGCAAAATAACTGGATATTGTTTATGCTCTTTGGTGCAGTGTGGGTGACACTTTTATTATCCTGTTTTTATTCTCTGTTTGGCTTTAATGCTGCCTTCCCGGGAACAATTTAGTTTTATTTCTGTGAGACTTTTAGCACAATGGGAAAAAGAAAAATGGAAACTTTTACCAATATTTTCCTAAATCACAGAAAACAGCTCAACAGTTTCATGTAAGAACTAACCTCTGGTTGAACAAAGCATGCTTTAGTTTGCCAACTTTTTTTATTTTCTTATTAAACTTAAAGTTGTATATTGGATTTGTTTGTTTGAATTTGAGTTTATCAGATGGAAATAAAGAAAACTAAACAAAAAAACGTGAACAAATAAATGCAAAAAAAGCACAATTAACAAAGCTAGAGATACATTTGACTGACAGCATTATTACGATTATGATAATGATTCTTTTTATTATTATTACTTATATTACTGTGCCTCTGTAACGCTCTTCTCTGTTCCTAGGCAATAACTCAGACTCCCAGAATTCCTTGGAGGACCTGGCCCACTATGAGTTTCTGGCCCAGTTGAAGAAGGCCTCTACCTCAACCAGTCTCCTGGAGCGCTTGAACCACAGCGGCTCCGCAGCAGCGTACCACGCAGGCAGCCGGCTGGACGAGCTGCCCCCGGCCATCTGGTCTCCTGGAGCTCAGCACAGCTCACCTGAGGGGACAGGTACGTGGTGGAACAGCTGCAAGGACACTCAATAATAATGAAACAAATCTAACATGACTGGTTTTAAGCTAATCAGTACGTTATTAGAATGAGAAACCATTAAAGGTGGGGTAGGTAATTTTGGAGAAACCAGCTCGAGTGCGCTCGAACTTGAAAATACACAAAAAAAAAATCTGCCACTTCCTTACAGAGCCCCTCCTCCAACACACACGAACGCGCACATGACCAATGAGGGCACGAGATAAGTTTGTGCACAGATGGAAGGCTGACAGGCAGGTAGGCCATCCAGTTATTTTAGCCGGGCCGGCTAAAATTATTGGTCGTGCTTTTTACAGTACCACGGCTTCCACAGATGACGTTTTTTTAAGGTTTTTTTTGTCAAAGCACTTAGATATTCATTTCTATCGGGATGTTAAGAGCATTCCATGGAATATAACAAAAAGTGTATCTAGAGCCGGTTTCTCAAACTTAACTACCCCACCTTTAAGATGCAGGCTGACATTTATATAAAAGTGATAAATCATATATTTTAAATTGTTTATGTTAATCTAATGCTGAAAACACACATCACCTAATCATCCAGTTTGACACTAGTCACATCAACTGTATATGGCAATCCATGCATACAGGTTGTGCTATATTTAAAAAAATGATTGAGTAAAATATCACAACTTTACCCGGTTCAAACAAAAATCTATTTAGAATTGAATTTTGTTGTCCGTTTAAAACACCACCTTTATTCCTGGACCTCAGATGCAGGGAGGAGCGAGCAGGCCTGTCCGTTCTGCCACAGGATGTTTCAGCGAGGATCTTCTTTGAGGGACCACATCAAGTACTGTCAGGAGAGGGAGGGGGGCCACATGGTCTGTCCACTCTGTGGATACACTGCCACCCTTAGGGCACAGATGGAGCGGCACCTGGCACTTCATAACCAAATGCAGGACAAGGTGAGATACATAGCAGGAGCAACTTCTATGTCTGCAAAGAGACACATTGTCATAACTTTATTCTATGATTTAGAAGTTGTTGCGTTAAAGTCATTTATTTGTAACTTTGTGTATACTTCTTCACACCCTGCAATCAACTAATAACAATGTCCTGTCATCCTAGAGTGTCCTCGGTTTGGATCAAGGCATTGAGACGAGGAAGTTCAAATGTCTGCAGTGTGGGAAAGCTTTCAAGTACAAACACCACCTCAAAGAGCATCTCCGCATCCACAGCGGTGAGAACAAAAACCCCTCAACCAAGTTGTGCCAACCTTCTAATTGTCATTGTTTCCAATGTATCATTAACTGTTACTTATCAGTATATGTCATTAAATTAAACATAACTTGAAGTGTTGACAGGAAACAAGTAAAAAAAGATCCATGCAAAGATCATTATAAAAAGTTATTTTCATACATTTTTTGACGAATATATCCCGCCTGTGTGTCATCCTTTAGGTGAAAAGCCTTACGAGTGCTCCAACTGCAAGAAGCGTTTCTCTCACTCCGGCTCCTACAGCTCCCACTTAAGCAGCAAAAAGTGCCTGAATGGGGGGGGGATCACAGGAGGAGCCAGCAGTGCGTTTAATGGACATAGCCAAAGCTCCTTCCACCACTCATTTCCAACATCTCCCTCAGGAGGAGGGGGCGGAAACAGTTCTGAAAAGGGCTCTCCGATTGCATCACAGTCCAAAGGTTATGCTGGTCCTCTGGGTCGAGGACCAGAGGATCCTAACCATCTCTCCCTGCAGGACCCCAACACCACGGGCTTCCCCAGAGCGTCAGACCTGGCTCAGCTTTGGGACTCCTCAGCAGAGCTCTCTGTGAGGACCAGTATACTGAAAGGGACCACCCTGCTGCCTTATCTGCACACTGGGACCAAGTTTGAACAGATGCTGCAGGAAATGCTTCACAGGGAGGTGAAGAAAGATGTGGACATGGACAGAGGAGAAGCTGCGATGGAGGAAAGGAAGGGGTTTTTCAACGGAGGAGGGGCTGACATGAAGGTCTCCCCCGACAGGAGGAGAGAGGCAGTGAGGTCAGGTGAGGGAGAGAGAGGTGTTCTTGGGATGTCGTGCCGCTGGTGCTACCACCTTTTCCCCAACGTAGCAGTGCTCCTGCAACACGAGCGCTACCTCTGTAAGTTGAACCGAGAGGCAATGGAGGTGCCTGAGGGTCTACGCAGCAAAGACCACTACTCACCACCTTTATACTTCCCAAGATCTGCTATCAAAGCAGAGAGCAGCAAACTAAGTGAAGCAACCAACGGCCTCTCCGAAAACAAATCACTGTTACAGAAGCTCAGCTGGCACTCTATACCGCAGCAGCTTTTAGTCGCAATGCAATCTCCCCCACACGATAACCGGTCCTCACGAGCCTTCTGGCCAAACCAGGAAAAGGGAAGCCCCAGCCATCCAATCAACCACTCCCCAGAGCTGACATCACCTCGAGTCAGAAGAAGGTTTCCATCAGGATTTGGCTCTCCGCTCTGCCTGGACCTCACCAGCTGTCCCCCTGAGTTGACCTCCCCTCAGAGCAGCCCGTGGTCCGGACAGAACGAGCCCCTCGACCTCTCCCTGCCCAAGCAGCTCTCAGGTCATGAGGGGAGACACAAAACTGTAAATGGTAATGCAGCCCGAGGAGAGAGGAGAGAGCGTGGGAACCAGCAGCTCAAGAGACCAAGTCCATCCCCTCATCTCCCCCTCCACCACCACCCTATCTTCAGCAGGGCTGGAGCTCCTGTGTTTCCAGGTTCATTGTATAATGGATTTCCTATCTTCAACCAGTCTGGTTTAGGGCTTTCAGGACATGACGGCATTGCAGCGATTCCATTCAGCCAGCCAGCTAACAGCCCTGGGTTTCTCTCTCCCATGGCCTTCATGATGGAGGCAGACGCAGAGGCCACACTGAAGAAGATCCATCAGGAGAGACAAGCTCTTATGGTGTGTAAGGCTTCACTTTCAGGTTTTTTTGTTAAGAATTAAAACCTATATTCGATAGCATTGCTGTACGAATGTGTAGAACTAGAACAATACAAATTATATATTTGCACGTTTCCTGCTCAGGGTGAGGTGTTAAGCCGCGGCGCTCTGGACTACCTCTCTCTCATGGATGACGGACTGGATGGAGGACCAGGGAGGAAGAGACTGAAGAAGACCGATGAAGGGCTTTACGCTTGTGACATCTGTGAAAAAACCTTTCAGAAGAGCAGCTCTCTGCTTCGACACAAATACGAGCACACAGGTCAGTAGTATATGCGAAAACGCTTACATTATATCTAATTTCCTATAGTTTATAGGTTACTACAATATGCATTACTTAAAGATGTTGGTGAAAGGATTTGATTACCTTTGAATAGAGCCAGGCTGGCTCTTCCCTCTTGTTTCAGTTTCTTTGTGCCAAGCTACTGCCTGACAGATGTTTATAATTACTCTTTTCTATACAAATGAAGCTGGTACATCTTCTTTTTTTTAATGTTTGAAACTATTTTCTTTGAATTAATTACAGGAAAGCGTCCCCACGAGTGCAAGGTCTGCAACAAAGNTATAATTTTCTCATAGTAGAAGAGCAGACATGGAGCCAGATGAGAAAAGCAGAATATACAGCTGCCATTTTCCACATGGAAAAGAGAAAGGGCCAAGTGACACTTGGCCCTTTCTCTTTTCCATGTGGAAAATGGCAGCTGTATATTCTGCTTTTCTCATCTGGCTCCATGTCTGCTCTTCTACTATGAGAAAATTATATAAATTACTAATAATCATTTAAACCTGTTATTACCAATATTTCACAAATTCTTCATGTAAAATTAAGAGCACAGATGTATGTTGAGTATGTCAACTTTGCTTGGTTCATCTTACGTGGGGGGCAGCTACATGGATGTCGGTGCAGTCCACAATTAATTTTGCAGTTGAAGGCAGAATGAATTTATTATTGACTCAGAATGAAGCACAACTTTGTGTCATACAATACATTGACTTTATTTGTAATTGTGTAAAGAAATATGAGCATTGATTAGCAAGCAGGACCTGCAGGAACAGAGAATGGTGATCGATGGAGCTGGGAAGAGAGAAGAATAAAGAAAACAGATCAACTTTATTATCGGATATTAAAAATTCAATTTCAAAACAAGTTGCCGCTCCTACAGTTTTCTAGTATGTAAAGATGATTTCACATGACCAATGCAAAATATCACACTCAATACATGTGTGTCTCTGGGGGGTGCATTGTGCCTTTGATGTATATAAATAATATACCATAACCAAATACTATTACCAGTGGAAATCAGGTTGCCAGAACAGGTCAGTCCAGTGTGCATGATCCTCAGGGTCTCAGCAGTTACAGGTGAGGTAAAGAAAATAAAAGGGAAAAAGGTCAGTAACAACGCTTTAAAGTAACAACACTTTGAATAATTATCTCTTTTTAATAATTTTCTCTCAGTAATCACTCAACTACTGTCTTTCCAACAAACAGATTGACTCACCCTCACTATCACCACAATGAAACACGTCCAGAAGAATGTCATGCAAAGCTAGCTGCCTGCCTGCCTGCCTTCGACTCTCCCTGAACTGCCTGATATTTTAATGTTCAATGTTAACCATTTGTGCAGATAGCATGAAGTAGAAAAGATCGCTGATGCTAATGTGGCGTTAGCCTACCTCCCGCCCCCTTAGCACCTGGTGGAGGGGGCGATAGGCTACTCTTCAAATGTTTAACAAAATACTTACCATCATGACTACTCTGACTGTTTAACATTTTGGTTTACTTCATGTTAAGGCTAATACAAATGACAAGGCTAAGTAATGTAATGTAATCTAACTAACGTGCTCGCTACTAGCTAGGTAGCTAACTTGACTATGTTCCATGCAAAACATGTATATTACCTGATATGTTTGGTCCTGGTCCTTTCACCAGACGGGAAGCGATAGAACGAGCAAGTGGTATGATCACTTTTGTGATTACAACCTGGTACAAAGCACACAGGCATCGTGTAAAAGTGAATTTATTGGAGCAATCTCTTATATTTATTGGAGGGATCTTCTTCTTCTTCTTCTTCTTTGCTTTAATTGCGAGTCGCAACCATGGTCGCAACCAGTCTTGGAGCATTATCGCCTATGACATCACTTACTCGACCCAGAATGCGATTTGGGATTTGTAGTCTTTCTAGTTGCGTATTTTTCATAGTCTTATATTTCAACAGTTTTACGACAAACTGTGACTTTTTTTTACATGGAAATTATTGTTTAAGATTGACAAACATCATATGTGTCATTCGTGGCACAATTCAAACGTGATCAAAAGATACGTTTTCTCTCTCCATTGACTTCAATGTATAATTTTCCGCTTCCGGGGTCCCATGGAGGCTCCGGGAAGGGGAGGGACTTTTTTTCACAGGAATTTCTAGGCTATCTCTTTTAACTTTTGTAATAGCTTATTACTGTAAACAGTATAGATTTAAGCATTTTATTCTGGGCCTATGCAATTCAGTATACTAGTCTGTAGCTATTACAAAAGTAAAATTACAGTAGGCCTACATTTAGTAAAAGAATGTGTGGAATAAAAGAGAGGAATCTCACAGCATGGATGTCCCCGTTTTGTCTGAGAATATATTATGAAATGTTAATTGTCTTGTTCCCCCTGGGGATTCAATATGTGACTGGCATCTAAATAAACTAAAGCTTTCTCAGTACTTGTGGGTTATCTGTCGCCACTTTTTTTGCATTTGCATCAGACTCTCTAAACTAATTTTATTAAGGTTATTCCAGGTGTATTTAGTATTTGTCACTATGAGTCATAATTAAGTAACAAACTCAAGAAGATTTAGCTAGTTTGTGAAGTTGTTGTCTATCCAGCAGAAACACGACGACAGTCAGGGTCAACTTCTTAAGACTTAAGGTCTTCTGCGGAATATTCCCATTTGTTGTAATCCTTGTTTAGTCGTCCATTTCCAGCTAAAAAATATCATAAATTATGCTCTTTGTTCACCTGCCACTAACTCTGCGGCGGTGAAGTGGTGTAGGCTTACTGTTAGCCAACTGTCCTCGATGGCTAGCACCGGAAACAGAAAGTCTCAGTGTTTTTGTTTTAATTTAAGTCCTTACGGGGATAAGTTTGTAAATGTGAGCCCACTAAAAGGACGACAATGTTATTGACATCTTATCAGGTGGGGGGAAATCCACAACAGGTCGGTGTAACGTAAGAAATACATAACTCAGTGCGATAAACAAAAGGGGGAATTTGTATTGAAAGTTCACACAATCTCCGGTAAAATCAAAGATGGCGCAGGGTTTCTTCTTCTTCTCCAGTGGTTTACAGTTGGCAAGTTATTCTGATGTGTATAATGTGTATAAAACAAATTCCAATCTTTACCTGTGTTTACAGATTTAGACATTTCCATACACATTTAATTTTTGGCTTTATGAATTACTCTTCTACCAAAAAAATGCAATATTTAAGTTAAAATGTTACATCATCAATTGAATGTAGTAACTTGCAAAATCTCATAAATCTAAATCTTCCAATCAAATACCTTACTATTACATTAAAAACAATGCATTACCACACACAAACGTCCAGCACTTTTTGTGATCATTATTTGGGTTAATGGACAGTTTCTCAGTTGGCCTGTATGGTTGCTACGCATTAAATATAATATGACCTACCCAAAATCACGTATTCCTTGCTGCTAAACTATGATTAAAATAAATGGCATATTTTAAGAAAGCAATGTACCCAATACAATCACAACCATTTGGCGGTTGTTGTATTTTGTGCCACTGTGGACATGTGCAGTAACTGTAGAAGCCTCAAAGTGGCGCCCAAGAGCTATTCAAGAATATTTAGGAGAGAAGTGTCCACAGATAGTGCAAATAACCACTCAACGTTGTCCAGGTCAACATCACTTCTTTATTATATTTTCACTTAAGCTCCATAGGTCCAGGTCAAGTTTCCAAAAAAAAGGTGAAATGCCAGTTGTATTGTCATGCTTTCTAAATATAAATTCTACAACTGTACCATAGAAAAGTTAACATAACTTGAAATCTCAAATAAAATGTAATTAATCACTCAACACATTTTAAACAAAGAGAGCCTCCTGAATCGAAGTGTAAACAGTGAATAAACTCAGGACACTCAACGTGTCAGCCTCTTATCACACATGAGCTCCTGTAATCCACAGTCCAGCAGTCACGTGACATCAACTTGTATCAATTCCTTCTGTATTCATGGTTATCAGTGAAGTCAGAGAAACATGGGCAAACCTGATTTTCCTTGATTTTCACCAACCTGGCAACCCAAAAGTCGACTGATGACCTATGAATAATGAATAGGCCTACCTGGTATTCATGATGTATTAACTTCTGGCCACGGGCCACCTGTATAAACGTCTTATGAATGGTGACCTATAAGAAAGTGGTACTTTCCCCCTTAGTTTTGGAGCGTATAGGCTATGTGATAAGAGCAGCTCAAAGAAAAAAAATGTAAGTCAGAGGTGAGCAAACTGAAATACTTTGACAGAGAAAAATCGTCCGAGTAGCAATGTTTGAAAAAGAGAGAGAGAGAAGGAGAAGATGTGGGTTTGAGGTTTGTCAATGTGAACCAGTTGCTCAGAGAGGATATAGGAGGACGGATGAAGGGAGGGGAGCTCTGGGGATAAATGCGCTCTTTCATTTCAAAGTAAATGAAATCCGTTACTGGAGGCACATAATTACACCGAGAAAACTCCCGGAAAAAACGACCGTTTTTTTCTTTATGATAGAAAATTAGCGGAGAGGATCATGAATATCAAATCCACAGAAGAACGTCATCTGAAACCTTTTGCTCGATGAGAAGAGTTTCTGTCCACAGGAGAGCTTGAGCTTCAAAGGCGCGCTCCGGAGCCAGGGGGGATACGCGCGGTGCTGAGAGACTGTTTGGGAAGGTGTTACACATTAGTAATGGTTTAATGATTCTGTATGCGGCCTCTTGTTGGATGGGACAGGTGCACGATTTTCACGCCCTAAACATGGATCACGGAGGTGTCAATTAAGTATTTTCTCTTTATGCTAAAGAGCTTTTGGTGCACTTAAATATAACTTTCTCCTGGGCTTTCAGCCAATCACGCCAAAATCACTGACAGGATTTCTCGTGAAATAGATTTATTTTTATTTTTAACGTCTACTCAACAACTCAAGACTGTTTTTGAACACGCACAGCCGGCATGCCACTGCAGCCGCACCATTTGACCGGATTTTACGCATCTCTTGGGGAAAAAGAGAGCTGAAAAACCGCGTGGGCGTTTATGTGTGCGTGTGGTGGTCGCCGATGCTTTAAATTTTCAACAGCTCAGGGCAGACCACTTTGTAAACAGAAGAAAGGAAGACAAATAGTGAAGAGACTCTGCGTTCATTTAGTTTCATAAATGGAGCTGCGTAAATACCTGTTTTGCCTGGAGTTCATCCTTCTCCTTAAAGGTAAGATTTATATCTGTAAACGTATATTTGTCAAATTTGTATCTAAATATGATGCTTTTAAAAGGTAAAACTGCTTAATTAGAGTCTGAACGGAACACGACTCATGCCCCCCC